ATCCTTATGAGGACTTCACACACACAGCACTCACAGCTTCTCTGCCTCATTCTGCTGCTCCTGTTTTTAACACCAGGCAAAAAATGTTTTTAAAAACAGCTGACGTTAACTTTAGATCACAGTTTGAAACGCTCCAGCATTTTTAACAAGAAAAACAACACGGACACGCTGATTACAGTGCGAGGTGAAAGTGAAAATAAAACATGGTGCAGAAACTTACACACAGCTGTTCTTTCTCCCCTCATATTCCAACACAGAGGGTAGAAACAGCTAAATTAGACAGTTAAAACACATTTACAGTTCATACTGTAACTCACCCTTGTTGTTGTAAAATTCATTCTGTGTTGTCCACAAGCACTTTCCGCCCTGTTGTGGGTCCATTTCCTTGAAAAATAAAACTTAACCAGGCACTTTGAAGAAGCTCTGACGCTGGTAGTCTATGTAGATAATAATGTGGGTTTACACACCCCAGAACCGAACATTTTGACTTCTGGACTTGCATATTCTGCATGACGCTATGAACTGCAAAATCACACAGCGAAGAAAAAAATGGCGGACTATGAAATCCAGTTGGCCGGAAATACATTACCATAAATGGTAGTTCCTAAGAAAATAGTGTGACGAAATAAACAATGACACGAAATAAGCAACAGCAGATTTTGAACAAACTGAAAAATTTGACCCATAAAAAATATAAAAATATCCTTGCAGTAACTGGACAGAATAAATTAAAGTTTTCTACACCCCTAGACACTATAATTGCATAAAAATAGTTTATAAATGCAAAAAAGTGCACACACACTCACACTGATGATGGCAAACTACATTGTGGCCACAGCTGCCCTGGGGCACACTGACAGAGGTGAGGCTGCCATACACAGGCGCCATCAGACCCTCTGACCACCATCAGTAGGCAAGGCGGGTAAGGTGTCTTGCCCAAGGACACAACGACTGAGTCGACTGGACGTCGATTCAAGGACCTTTCAAGGACTTTCCAGGACAAATGTCCTCAAATTCAAGAACCACGTGCAACGGCAATTACCTCTGCTACAGCAGAATGTTACCAATAAAAAGGTTAAATATCATGTAAATTCAATAAAAAACTGAACAACATAGAAGTCGTTGAGTCAGAATCAATGAAAGAAAGTGGATTAAATGTTTACCCTACATTCATATCCACAATACATGGACATGTAATTATGTCCTGTGAGGTTCTGCAGTTCAGTTTGGGAGGAGGGGATGTGAACATGTCCAGACACTCAGTGAGAACAGGAGGAGCTGTGGTGTTCTCACCTGGGCTCATAAAGAAAGACCCGCCCTCCTCTGATCTGATTGGCTAAAACTATGACTATGGCTCACTAGGGTTGGGCATAATCTTATCGTGTGCAATTAATCATCAGAAAAACATTAATTGATTATTTTTTGGCACTTGACGATTAATACGATTAATGCCACCAGGCAGAGTCTGATCAGTGCTCCTCTCTGCTTCAAATACGATGAACATTTTAAAAAAGGTTCTGTAATTTATTTATCTATCAACACAATTAAAAATTTGATATATACAGTGGTTTGCAAAAGTACAGTGGTTTGCAAAAGTACTCATACCCCTTGAACTTTTCCATATTTTG